AAAGTTTTGCATCTTTGGAGTTGAAAAAGAGATTTTAGTTTTTTCTTTTCTTAAAGCAAAAGTTGCGAACATGATCCGGGAACGATAGTTCTGCCTCAAATTTTATCGGGGAAAATCTGCAACAACTCGTGTGATTTCTATCATCTGGGAGAAACCAGCTTTTGACTTATCTGATACTTTACAGTTCCATCTCTTAGACTAAAGTTGCCGAAAATTATTTATAATTTAATTAACCAAGTCACTTTGTACTTATATCTTGCATTAGCTCTTTTGACTTGTGGTTTTTGCATTCACTTGTTTCCTTTATTACCTCTTTGTTATTCTAGTCGAAAGCAGACTGGTGGCGGAAGTGGAACACGAGCCCCCACATAAAATTGATGAGAACATGTGGAAGAACCGGGAACATATTGAGGAAATCCTTTTTCTGCTTGAGAGATCTCGGTGGCCAGCAGTGGTAAGATATGTCAAACCTTCGTATATGCAGTGAATCCGTGATCAAGTGAAATCAATACAATGTTTGGAAAGCGGCACCATGGTCTTGCGTTCAACTTCTTATGTGATTGCATGCCCATATTTTCTTTCATCTTTGAGTTTGCATCATATCCAATCTGACAGAGTTAGTATTAACTGAATCTTTCATGATCCATGGTTTCACATTTATTTGTTATGGCTGCAGCTTCAACAACCATCCACCCCTGATGATTCTGACTTTGCTATTAGTCTTGAGAAGTTCAGAGATAAATTTCAGCAGACATTAAAGGCATTGGTTGCTTTCCAATCAAAAAATTCGGAACGTGTATTTAACACAGGTTACTTCTTGGAAGCGTTTTATCTTTTCGGTATCTTGGCACATGTCTGTGGCTTTACATCAAAGCATATTAGTTATATAACTGGTTATGTTCTAGTGCTATGAACTTCGAGTATTTAACACAGGTTACTTCTTGGAAGCATTTTTTCTTTTAAGTATCTTGGCACAGGTCTGTGGTTTTACATCAAAGCATATTAGTTATATAACTGGTTATGTTCAATTGCTATGAACTTGAGTATTTGATCTTCCTTTAGAGGTGGCTCAACTTAATTAGACTCCATGCTTCTATATTATTATGTGGTAAGAGTGGAACTTTGGTGATGCCGAATGACATGTAAGGTCGACCTTGTACAAGTAAAAGAAGATTTTAACTAATCTGAAAGTTTACTCTAGGTGAAATAGGAAGTCTTAAGTTACACTTAAAATATTATGTTCATTTTCAATTATATCTCATTTCCTTAGTTTTCTATGACCATTTGTTTTCCTAAAGTTTTGTTTAGGGGACGGGAGAGTAAGGCAGTAGGCAATGGAATAATAACTAACTGAATGGAACAGATTTTAAAATATTTTACTTTATTGGATGGAATGAAAATGAGTGAAGTATGTTTGTTTGGTTAAGAGATTAGAAGGAAAGCCGTAGAGAGGTATTAATGTTTGAAAGATAATAATACCTTTTTTCTTACAATAAGGAATGGCTGGGAGACGAATGAATTTAAAGAAATGATTAAGGATAAACTAGTTGAAAAAATGACATTAACTCCCTTTTACTTTCTGTTGATTATTTCCCAATTTGGGCCATTTTTTAGAGTAAAATGTTCCGGCTCATTCTCTTTCAATTCACTAAACTATCTCCTAAACAAGGATGAATTATTAAAATCCTGTAGTTCCATTCTTTTTGCACCTTACCTTCTCCCTTAAGGAGTTAATGGTTTGTCTGGAAGTTTTATTTTAAAGGAAAAGGAGAGTGGAGTATGCTAGAGTACTTTTGACATCCTTTTTTGGGATTTATTAAGAGAGTAAGTGGAAGTAAATTAGAGAAAGAACCCTTGTAACACACTAAAACTTATTTATCCGACCTTGTAAATTGGGAGGTCAGGAGGGTTGAGAGAGTTTTATTAATATTGTAAGAATTAGGGAAAGAAATTCTGAATATATACTTGTGTTTTATTGAAATAAAAGTAGAGATATATATACATGTAAACGGATTCATATATAGTAATCAATATAAATTACCTTAATAATTTTCTTTTTAATTACATTTACATATTTGGAAAAATAATCATACTATTATGTTAAAGAAATATTCTATAATATTCTAATACTCCATCTTAATCTGGAGTATAGATATTAATCATGCCCAGTTTGTTGCGAAGATACTCAATCCGTATTCCATTAAGAGGTTTTGTGAATATATCAGCAAGTTGTTCTCTAGTTTTCACATAACTAATAGATATAAAGTTTTTCTAAATCTTCTCTTAGATGAAGTGACAATCAATCTCGATATATTTAGTTCTCTCATGATATACAGGATTTGAGGCAATATGAAGAGCAGTCTGATTATCATACCAGAGTTTTGTAGGAGATGTGGAATTCAAATCCACTTCATGTAAAAGATGATATATCCATAAGACTTCACATGTGGATTGGGGCATAGATTTATATTCAGACTTTGTGGTTGAGTGAGATACATTTGTTTACTTCATACTTTTTCATGATATGATGTTCCCACCAACAAAACATAATAACTCGTAGTAGACCTCTTATCAATCTTAGATCTAGCTCAATATGCATTTGTAAAATATTCAATGTGAGTATGTTCGTGATTTCTAAACATTATGACAAGTTCCAGAGCACCTTTTAAGTAGCACAGAATCTGTTCCAGAACTTCTCAATGTTTAACTGTAGGTATATACATAAATTGATTAGAAATACTGATAGGATATATAATATTTGGACAAGTCATAGTGAACTAATTTAATTTTCTAACTAGTAGCCTGTATTTTTTTGGATCATCGAGGAGATCACCATCATCTTTTGTCAGATGTACATTTGGTACCATAAGCTTGTTGCATGGTTTAGCTCACAACTTTTCTGTTTCTGCAAGTTGATCAAATACATACTTCTTTTGAGATAACAAAATCTCTTCCTTATTTTTTATTATTTCAACCTCAAAAAAATAGTTTAGTTATTCCAAATCTTTGTTATTGAACTTAGTATGCAAAAATAATTTAGAGAGAGGATATTCCTGTATGGTCATATCTCCTGTAGTCACAATATCATCAATATAAATAAAAAAGGATATAATACCAACTGTTGATTATTTATAGAAAACTGAATGATCACACTTGCTCTTCTTCAATATGAATTCACAGACTATCTCATTAAATTTGCCAAACCAAGCAAAGGCACTATGTTTCAGACCATATAAAGATTTCTTCAAATGACAAACTTTCTCGTACTCCCCCGGAGCAACAAACGTAGGTGGTTGCTCCATATACACTTCTTTTAAGAGATCACTATGAAAAAATGCATTTTTAATATCTAGTTGGTTCGAGAACCAGTCTCTAGAAGCTGTACTAAATATGAATAAACGGATAGAGG